TTGTCGCGCTTTTTACCCTCCTCATTTTTCTCGTTTCGCCATTGTATATTGGTACTTACTTTTGGTCGCGAACAATCGCGGCAAGAGAGCTTCGCAATTCCTGACTCTTTATCTTGCGCGGCTTCCTCCTTCTCTCATACAAGTTCCGCCCTTAACCCTTGACGTCGCGACGCCTTTTTGTTCCGTTCCCGTGTTGCACGACGTGCGTCATCGATGCCGTCCGTTGTTAGGTCTCTTTTATTTTGGTACGAGATCGTCGTCGTACCGTAAATTCCCCGGCGTGATTGTTATCAACGATATGAAGCGACATGATGCTTCGACGATAGAAAAAAAAGTAAAAGAGTTTATGCATTTAAACTTGCGTCTTAATATAAATATTATTTTGAATAACAGAGAATAATGGATAATAAATATCATAAATGACGTGTGTGTATGTGCGTGCGTGCGCGCGCGCGCGCGCGCGCGTGTGTGTGTGTGTGTGTGTTGGGGGGGGTGTTCTCTTTAAATATAAAATATAAAGTAACTTTCATATCAAGATTCTTAGATAAAAGTTGTTAAATTTAATATTTGTAAGCATATGTATAATTAATTTCTATCTTAAAATCAGAAAAGAAAGAAAAGAAATCAGTAAAGAAAGAAAGAAGATCAGTAATGAAAATAATTCGTAATTATTTCGAGTATCCTTTTCATATTTTTCGAATGACATCCTTTCGTCGGCGTCGTCGCAAAACATACATTTTTATAACACGTGTAAATAATACATTATGCAATAATACATTATGCTATTTTTATTGAAAATGCTTTTACTGAAAATGCTATAAGCTTGATTTCAGTTTCAGATTTTTAAAAAATTTCAAAAAATCACACATACGTTCCTTGACGGGATCGATGCGCAACGCAAAAAGAGCTCGCGTGAAGCTATAAATTTATGAAGCGTGACTCTTCTTTTTTTCTTTTTTTATCGTTTATATTTATATGATTCGCCAATTTCATTGAGAGGATCGCGACGATCAGTCGAAATGCATTTCCAATGATCGACTCGAACACTTGGTAAAACCTTGAAATATTGATCTGCTCGTTGAAGCTGATTTAATCGACGTTCCAGCATAGAGTCCTCATTCGTTAGAATTTATAAACAGCGGTCAGTTGAAATGCATTTTTATCCACCGCTGGAAATGAACATTTTACCCTTTTTTTTTTTCTTTTTCTTATGGATCTATCGTACGTCATATTTTCGACATTATTGCATGGCTCAATGACGCGATGTAACGTTATGTCACCCGGGATTAAACCCGCGTGTAAGAGACTGGATGAAGCAGGAGAAGTCGTAAACGTGTCGCTCGTGTTTAATGTATATGTTAAGGATGGCAAGTTAGACAATGCGTATATTGCAACGCGACAGGGGATTTATGATCGAGATAAATGAGACAGGATGAGGATGAGGATGTGTACGCTGCGTAAAATGCATCTTCGTAATCACAACGTGAAAACAGAAATGACAGTTTCCTTTATACTTCGCACGTTAATAAAAAAAAAAAAAAAAAAAAAACAAGAATCTCTATAAAAAAAGTTTTAATCAATTTAATCCTGTGAAAAGGAATCGCGTGTATGGGCGACAGCCCAGAAGATTATAATTCTTCCACCGAAGGCAATAAATATACACGATATGAAAAACACCTGCTTGAGAGAAAGAATCGTTGATGTCCCTCTCGTCTTGTCCGTTTGATTTATCGTATTTGTCGCGTTGCCCAGCCGTTGCTCGATCAAACATTTTCGAAGCTCGCTCGCGTAATTAAAGGCTTCTGGTTGAATGTACGAACGGGGCGATATTCTCCCCGGCTGTTAATTGCATCCGTGTATGCACGGAACACTCGCATGCAGACGCGGAATCGAGCAAATAGACGCGAACGTGCGATGATTCGCCATTTACAGAACGAGCGCGAGCGTGTGTGTGCGTGCGCGCGCGTGTGTGTGTGTGTGTGTGCGCGCGCGCGCGCGTGTGTACGTTTAATATAAATTTCTCGTCGCGAAATATATCCGGCTGTTTCAATTTCGTGCGAGCTTCGCGGCTGTTTTGGCCGTGAGTTAACTAACTCTAATTAGTAGCGTAATTTTATTATTACATCGTAGTTTTAATTATAACACGCGTAATGACGAAGGCAGTTCATCGGTGAACTTTGACGATGTGTGCAGAGGCTCTCTTTATTATTTACTTATTAAAGTATTTAATTGAGTAACTCTATACGTAACGACCGCGAGAGATGAACTGGCTTTTAATTCGTCAAGGGATGTGGCGAGGTATTCTTCCGATTCTCTCTTTTGGGATACTTTGCAATAATGAAGCGGCTATTAATTTGGTGGATGATGGGAATTTAATTAATTACATTATTAAATTATATATGTGTATATATATATATATATATATATATATATTATATACTATATTCGACATATATTGCAATATATTGTCGCGATGTAATCCGTCTACATATAAAGCGTTTCAAGCGAGAAATTGAACTCCGGGAGAGCAGGTGACTAGCGTGTCTACTTGACACTGCAAATATTTACGTGCATTGTGTAACCTGTGCCGTAGAATCGTGCGTCGCTGTTGCAGAAAATATGTACGGTACAGATTGTACGAAGTTAATATCGCGCGACTCGGTAAGCCATACATTTACGAGTTTATATCGGCTATCTGAAAATCACCGTGATCACGGTGAAATACTGTCGTAACAAATAGAACTAATAGAACAAAAATTTTCGTGAATGATTTACTCAAATCCCAAATGATAATATTTGTACGCGAATAATATAGTTATTGCAATTATGTCCAATTTATTGCAACAAGTTGGTTAAAAAAAAAAAGGAGACAAACTCTACGAGTTGTAAACATCGAAAATAAAAATTTAGATAGTGAGTTCTGTGTTGAACAAATAAAAAGGGTACAAATATCTTTTTCATTTTATTTTCTGCACCAAGTAATAAATAATTTCACAGACGCGAACGTCTTTCTGAACGGTAGAAATGGTTTCACAGGATGCGACGTTTTATTTTCCGATTCTTTTCAATTACTACTCACATTCAATCCCGAGATGACTTGTTCCATCGTGACTCGACGGATTAAGATCTAAGTAATTGTGTATGTCGAAGTACGTGTGAGATCGAAGAAAATTCAAACGTACGTCGAAGTAATCGGGAGGAATTAGCGTGGACGTGAAGTGCCCATTAAAATTCCGTTTCCCGCGCAATGAGGTAACTGTTTTCGAGGTTTGCAGCAAGTTTGAGATCTTGATGATTGGTAATTCTAAGAAGAAACAGTCTTCCTTCTGTCGGTATCTAACAGCATCGAGAGACCATGAAACCTAAGGTAGCTTAGAGGACAGAGGGAGAGGAGAGAGAGAGAGAGAGAGAGAGAGAGAGAGGAGGAGGGAGGGGAGAGA